CAAAATAGCAACCAGAGTATGATAGTTTTGATACGATGCTTTTTCTACTCGCCATGCCGACATCCTAGCAACACACAAAGCAAAAAACAAAGCAAAAATCACACCCTAATACTTGGACAGAAACTTTGAAATACCATTTACACAGGCAGATTCCTTCATTTTATTAGAAACATTTAAACAGTTTGAAATAATATACCTATCAGCATATCCTTATTCCTTAAACCAGAAAAATTACACTCAGTATTTTTCAACACTTGTCAATGTTTGTAAAGCGAATTATCTTTTACATCTTTTCCCATAAGAAAAAGCTAAATAAAGCACACCAGTTTGACCTCATGAATCCTACAAAAGTCAGGGGTATTGTGGACAATTAACAACAACAAAAACTTTCAGTAAATTGACCCCCGTTGTTACCATAAAAAAAACAACTTTACTGTGTGAACTAAGGAACTGCCGTGAACAACATGATAGGATTGATACCACTGATAACTGTTCATAATTTCATTTCTCATTTGTCAGACCATAAAAAAATGTTAAACAGCTTAGGGAACCCTGACATCGCAATTATGGTGCATAATAAGGCTTTCACAGCAAGGTGCAGTTAATCAGTAATTCAGCGTGAACTTCCAGTTTGATTCAAGGACACAACTATCAAATACTTTATGTAGTCCAAGGGTTGTTTTTTTTCCATACCAGCTTTTTCTTTTTTAATGACAAGAAAGAGCAACAAAGAGATTACAGAAATAGTATATATAAAAGAATATATAAACTCCACACAAAGTAAAGCACATATGATAGTTACTGAGAGTGAAAATTGAGCACAACAGCAAGGCTAGGATATCGATGGCTGGGTGCAACACTCCAACAGAACACCAAACTGCAAAATGGCGTTTGCCAGAGTCTTTCATCCAGCCAACAACATGTAATCTATTTTAAAGCTCTCCCTCTAAACCCATATCTTAAGCCTGACAAAGATCTTCCTGAACAACAGTTCATGCTCTGTACTTTTAAAATGAGCAATAACTAGGAATTTTTTTCATATCTCTGGATGGACAGTTCAGGGGAAAGGGGACAGGCCAGGAAGGAGGGTGGAGTGACCGACTCTTTTGCATCTTTTGCTAGAAAGTAACGTTTCTTACTCAGAAGGAGGGTGGAGTGACCGACTCTTTTGCATCTTTTGCTAGAAAGTAACGTTTCTTACTCAACTTCAAATACTAGCTGTGTGATCCACTCTCATACACATACTCAAATTGTTTTTGGGAGCATTTTATTATTTTCTGTAACCCACCACAGCGATATGGCCTCTTGAGGAAAGACAGGGTTAAAAAAGACCTGGTCGGTAAACTAACGGAGAAATATTAGTACTTATGAACTAAGTTTTTCCCCGTTTGGACACCTTTTAAACTTGGCTGAAAGCAAAGTCATTGTAAAAGAAACCTTGGAGTGTCCTGTTCCTCAACAATGGCAACATCTTAAAGTTCTCTTCCTTTAAAAGACATTTTTTTTTTCGTCCTCTGTTCACTAAATCTACTCAACATTGGCCCATATATGTGGAGCAATCCTTAATAAAAAACAGCCACATTTTATCCTCATACATACACTCACACCTCTTAAGAGCAGCCACTCCAACTTTGGTACTAAGTTACATAATATGCTACATGGCCAGACTTCAGCTGCCACTGCTAGGAAGATGCGTGCGAACTGAAGAGCAAGAAATCCAAGCCAGAGGCTGGTGACGGAAGAGGGAAGGAAGGGAGTAGGCGCGAGACAAAACCTTCCAAAGGTAAAACTTTGTGATAAATAAGTGACTACTCCAAAGAACTAGATGTCACCCACACTCCAGTGTCTCTACAGCGTATGAATGAAACTACCTTCATTCATTACACACAAAAATACAACCCAGTGCCAAAGAAGTGATGATGGAAAGCAGTGAAGACAACGATTACAGTAGCCAAATCTCAAACTTTCAAACTTTTTTATTCCATAGAAGTGAAAAAGTGAAATAATGATGACTATGCACAACACAGCCCACCCATGTTAAAAAAATATATACAAAAGAATAAAGAAAAAAGTGAAGGCGACAAGAGCAACAGCCATTATGTGAAAAAAATATATATTTTCTTTTAATAATTAAGTAAGGGAGAAGTAAAAAAACTGTGAAGGTGGCAAAGGAAGTAACCCTCACATTTTTTAAAAGAGCGTGAGAGGAACAAAGAGTGACAGAAAAAGAAAAAAGCAACTCTGCCTGCTACACAGATGATGATGTTTGTTAGTGTCAGGTTATGGTGGTGGTGGTGGCGATGATAATGATGAAATGATGATGATGATGATGATGATGACGATGATGATGATGATGAAGATGAGACAATCGAAGTTCTTGGCTGCCGCAGGCTATTGCGGTTACCTTCATAAAGCCCATGAAAAAGTAATGTAAACCGTGGTCCAGCCACGTGTACTTGGATGCAGACAGGTGGCCAAAGTCATGCTGCAACCAGCTGGACTGACCCTTTGAGAAAGAGGCATGGGGGGAACTTTTAGTGCATCAAATAACAGCAGCCTGGCCTACAGTATCTCAGATGCAGGCACGCAGGCAGGCACTCACACATGCACGCACACATGCACGCACGCACACACACATACAAGCACACATACGCATCCACACACTCACACACACATAACACCTACACATCACTTTACACATACACACACTAACACAAACAGTCATTAAGAAGACGCACTTGTATGTGTGTCTGTCGGTAACTGTTATTAAGGGTTGAAGAAAAGGTAATAGACAAAATAGAAATACTGACGAGAAGGAAGTGAGATCCTTAAGTGGCACCTTCTGACCACGGGCAACTACACATAAAAATAAAACAAACATTCACACACACACACAAACACACTCACACATATACAATCTGTTAACATTAATGCACTTGAGAACAAATGCCCGCACACACATGCTAACAGCTTACTATTGATCAGGCGCTATAAGAAAACTTGAGTTAACAATGACACAGCAAGAGAAAACACTTGCACAAAGGAGCTAAGGGAAGGAGAAGAGCCAAGTAAAATCAAATGATAGATCCAAAAGACACACACAAGATGGACGAATGCAAAAAAACACAGAGTAATACGAGATTTTGAAACCTACAATTAATATGAAACCAGTCTGAACAAGGTCACACACTAAAATGAATCATTGATACTTGTTATCAAAAGATGGTTGCCAACAGGAGACACCTTTAACGATCCTCACAGACCCTAACACTTCAAATAATCTTACGATCCCATGGAACCCCCAATTGTGGACACAGCTAGACCCAATTACTAAAACATGCTTCTAGCAAACGGCATGAAACTACAGGAAAAATTCATCTGGGGTTCAACACGGATGCAGTTTCACAGAGCATATTCCCGAAGACCAAAGGTGTTTAGGTCAAATCAAAGATTATCTCGTATAACCCATTGAGATTAAAGCATAAGAACTGTTTCATTCCCAAATATAAACGTGTCAAATGCATAAATTCTTTAACTTTTTACCGTGATGCAATTCAAGTAGATCAAGTTTTAACAGCAACTTAGTTCCTGGAATAGACTACACTTAATGTAAGATTGAAGAGAAGACGACAGAGTAGCCCACACCAGTGCCCTTATCCAACCACACACTGTAAAAAAGGAGAGCAGTGGGATGATAGAGACAAGTCACAAATCCTGGTAAACAAAACATAAAAGAAGTGTGAAGTCACGCTGAAAGAGGAGCTGTCTTGTTGCCAAGACGTTAAAGCAGCATAATATATGTATGTATTGATCAAACTTGGCTATAATATATATATATGTCATCCATATCATACTGCCACAATCCTGTCTCCGGCAGTTGAAGCACGTGCTGCAAACTTACAAGAATGGTGGTTACAGAGATTTTAAAAAATAACACATCACTTTACATCATGCACAACTCTTAATCAAGAGAATCAAAGATAAGAATATCATCGCTGTCACAAGAAAAATGAGTAACTCCAATGTTTTTTACTCCCCTGCCAAGCAGGGCCAAAAGAAGCTACCTATTTTTTATTTGCAACAGGGAAGACATAAATCCATATCACAGAAACCGATGCTAGAAAAGTTATTTAAAAAGGGGGAAAAAGCACAATACACAAAATGAAAGTTAGTCACAAAATGTATTTCTCAAAATAATTCTTAAAATACATTAAATAAGTCTCCAACATCTCTTCAAGAACTGCCAAGTCAACATAAAGCATCCTTATCTTCCAACAAGTAAAAATGAAGATGTAGAGAGGCTCTTCGTTCTCTTCATTTCTTTTATATGATGCCTGCCATTAACAGTTAAACTAACATTCTAATCACACATATCCAAACAGATGACAAAAAACAGACATGTACAACAAAAACAAGAAAACGCATTGAGCAAAGACTGGAAACCTTTCTTTCTTTGACACATAACTGGGAGAAAAAAAAAAAAAGAGAGAGAGAGAGAGAGAGAGAGAGAGAGAGAGAGAGAGAGAGAGAGAGAGAGAGAGAGAGAGAGAGAGAGAGAGAGAGAGAGAGAGAGAGAGAGAGAGAGAGAGAGAGAGAGAGACAGACAGAGACAGACAGACAGACAGACAGACAGACAGACAGACAGACAGACAGACAGACAGACAGACAGACAGACAGACAGACAGATAGACAGACAGAAGGAGAGGAAGAGAGAGAGAGAGAGAGAGAGAGAGAGAGAGAGAGAGAGAGACAGACAGACAGACAGACAGACAGACAGACAGACAGACAGACAGACAGACAGACAGACAGACAGACAGACAGAGATAGAAATTGACAGAAAGAGGTAGAGAGATATTAAAGGCAAGGGAAAATTGAGAAAAAGATATGCACCGACAAACACACAAATACAATAGAAAGTTTTAATACAAAATAGAACAACAAACAACCTTTTTAACTCAAACTTAAAATAAGCCTCAAGACAAATGAAACCAATGCCTTACCTCAACTGTGGTGATAAAAATGAGAGAGAGGAGATAGGGTACCCATCCAGTGCCAAAGTAGTACATGACAGCCCAGGCTGCCCAGTCCAGGAACAGGATGTGCAACATACTCAGAGTGAAGAATAAAACGCTGGGCTTGAACAGGCCCTGGTCACAAACAATTCATTTGATAAGTCTTTTTCCAGTTTTAGGAAGAGTTTTACGGCACTTTCAACAAAATAGATCACACAATGCCGAAGATTAAAGGTGTTAAAAGAGAGTAAAATACAAAGAAAAAAAGAAGGGATAAGGGTGATAAATATTTGATAGGGAAGAAAGAACAAACCAGACTAGAACACCTGCCCACAACATACAATTAATTTGATAGATTTTGTGAAAGCTCAAACTTCTCCCAATGCAATAGAGGAGGAGTGAGCATTATGTATGTAGTTAGTGGCCAGTGGTTATGGAATGGTTGGAAGTGATATACATTAAAAATGCAGGAACGACAGATGAGGGAGCAATCTCTTTAATTTTTGTGCATTTCATCCAATTTTTATCTTGTAATTTAAAAAAAATTCTTACAATTTTTCTTTTCTCAGTTCAAATTTCAACGGAAACATATAAATTATACAGTGCAAGTCGAAGATAGAAAGAGAAAACAATGACAAACAGAAGAAGAAACAAAAAAAAACAACCAAGAAGAGCTGACAAACAGGAAAACACATAGTATAGAAGACATATTAAAAATCATGAACACTTGAGAGAACAAGTTTAAGACATGAAATTACAGGGTCAGTTTAAATAATACTTTCCAACTAGAGATTTGAGAGTAGCTAGCAATCCAACATGTAAACTCTTACCTTCTCAGACCTTATAATATTTCCTCACTGTTTGTCTAAAACCTACCATTTTCTCTTCTCAGCTGTCTGTCTCATATCTACCATTTTCTCAACTGTCTGTCTCAGGCCTACTGTTGTTTTTAGTTTTAGTAGAGGTTTAACGGCGCTCGCAAATGCATAAGGTCATAAGAGTGCTGGAAGATTAGAGCTGTTACAAGAGAGTAACAAACATAAAAAAGAAAAAGGGGAGATAAGGACGATAGAAGTTTAATAGGAAAGAAGAAGCAAACAACACCAGAGCCCCCGCCAACCACCCACTTACTGTTGTCTCAGCTGACCTACCATTCTATCAGCCGTCGTCTATCTCACTACCATTTTCTCAGCAGACCCACTATTTTCTCAACTGTCTGTTTCAGACCTTCAGACCCATTATTTTCTGAACTATCTATCTCAGACCTACCATTTTCTCAGCTGTCTGTCTCAGCTGCCGGAAGTCTTCCTCAATAGGCTTCACTTCCTTCTGGGTCTCTTTCAGAGTGCCAATGTGGATGGCCTTCATGTACTTTTTGACGAAGTTCAAGTCATTGTGGAAAGCCTTAAAGGCATCCTGGGGAAGGCAAAAATAAAATAGTCATTTCACAAGAACATCATCAAAGATTTTTTAAATATTAGAATGAGCAAGAAATGCACATTAAGCTTTTAATCTTAAGATCTGAATCCCTACATTTTCATTTTCTTAACATACAATATGAACATTTCAGTTGTTTTGTAAAATACTAAAAGGACTGTAACAAAGGTGACACAATATATGTCAAATATATTCATATGTGTGAGCGCCTCATTGAGAATGTACATTCTAGTTCTACGGAAATGCTAGAAGACACACCTTTTTAGGGGCATTTACGAAAAACAAGTACAGTCGAACCTGAGTAAGACGGCCACCTATTGTCAAGGAGAAAAGTGGCTGTATAAGACAGGTGGCCGTCTTAGGCAGGACTGATCAATATGAAGAAACAAACCATTCCTTTCTGAGGTCCCAACCGAAAAGGCAGCATTGTTGTTGTTGATGTTGTTGTTTTCCCAGGTTGGGGGTTCTTTTGTTGCTGCTTTTGTGCAAGGGTAACAATAAAACGAAATGGACCGAGTGCTATAGTAAAACAAACACACGACACGGGTCGCCACCACTCGGAGAACGAGTGACGCTTCTGTCACAAGTTCATGTTACTTTGTTACAGACTGGGTAAACAGTGATCTCACGATTTGTGTAAGAGTTCTGGGCAAGGCTAAAGGGTTATGAGGGATCACACGCTTACCTCACCAGCAGCTGAAAATTTGTTACCTATTGGACAGCAGTGGGAGGAGCCTACACAACATGATCGGTTGGAGGGACTACCTAACAACAACGACAGGTGATTGGATTATGACGGCTCGCCCACAACACCAGGGCCCAGTGCATGATTTATGACAAAACGTAATGGAGTCACTAAGGTGGCCGTCTAAGAGAGGTGTTATTGTTTAGTGTGATAGGGGTTGTGTGTTAAAATAAGATGGCCACGCCGCGTTGGACGGTTGCCCGTTTCACACAGTTAGATTATATAGAAAAAAGTTGCCGTTTGTACAGGTGGCCGTCTTATAGAGGTGGCCGTCTGGGCAGGTTCGACTGTACAAGTGTAATTTCATTATTAAGACAGATTTTTTTTCGTTCTGTTTTCCTCATCTAAACGTTATAAAGTCAGACAAAAACATGCTCGTTATGAAATATGCTTAATCACATTTCTGAATTAAGTATAAGGGTTCTATATGAGCTGTGACATTTCCTTTTGTTTACTAATTGGACAAAAATATGTGTCCCCTTTGTCCTTTTAGAGTCAAACGTTTAATCAAAAGGCAATACGCAGGAGCATTCAAATGAAAATGAAGAAACTGAAATCTTTCAAGAGCTATGAGGCATTATTGCACTGAGAATCTTCATGGATAAAGGGGAAGCTTCATATTAACCAATCAAGATGTCCGCAGCATTGAGGAAAAAAAATGGGCAAGAAGTTGACTCCTTGGCATACAGATGTAAATTTTGGAGAGTTAGTGAGAGAGTGAGAGAGTAAGTAATTGAACCAATGATTGAGCAAGGCTGAGTGCAGGATAACAGTGACTAAGAGAGAGGGATGCATGAGAGACAGAGAGAGAAAAAGAAATGAAGAGAAAATGGGAGAAGAGTGAGAGGGCGGGCAAAAATATTGAATAAAAAGAAGGAGAGGGGTGGAGAGAAAATGGGAGAGAGTGAGAGGGCAGGCAAAAAGATTGAATAAAAAGAAGAAGAGAGGAAAGAGAGAGGGGTGGAGAGAAAATGGGAGAGAATAAATAGAAGGATGAAAAATATGAAAGGAAAGAGAGAGAGAGACACAGAGACAGAGCCAGAGCCAGAGCAAGAGCAAGAGCAAGAGCAAGAGCAAGAGCAAGAGCAAGAGCCAGAAACAGAGAAAGAGAGAGACAGAGACCAAGAGAGAGAAAATGCCTTTTTCTTCAATAAACTGCTCCAAAGCAAACTTCTTGTTGTGAGAAGAAAATAGAAGTCTCTCATCATAACATAACTCACCGTGGCATCCTGGCCAGCATAATGCCCAATGACCTTGGTGCCACCAGGATGGCGGCGTGCCCACGAGGTGATGTTGTAGACTTCGCCATCAATGACCAGCCAGCGGCACTCCTTGGTAGTCTTCTCACGCACCTCATCCCAAGTGAACTCCTTCAGAGGACGACTCACGTCCACAGAGCCGTTTGCTTCTCCCTGCGCACCCTTTCCCATTGCTGCTGGATCTGGACACCAAACAGTAGTTTATATTTGTTTTTCCTTTTCGATTTCTCCCCTCGTCTTGATGACAGAAGAAATCTAAGCCTCCCTGTTAACTGATATCTTTTTTGGAAGAAAAATAGAATCTCACTACCGAAGAAGTTAAGATTGTCTCTTCATGTAGTACTGAGTTTTCAATAAGTTCTTGGAGTAACTGTCCACAATGCTGGTTCCTGCCCTACAGTTCCGATGTACCTCTGCCTTAAGTCCAAAATGTCTCTGAAATGAAGCAAAAATAGGCAAACATAAATTTATGCATTTTGACACATGATGATATAGTCATATCCAGATATCAACTCTCCACCCTCTGCCTCTAATAACATCCTGAGTTGAATATGGCTTCCTGAAAACAAATTATCAATGAGCCATCTATCCCATGTGTGAATACACACGTCTCAAACAGGGAATCAGCAAGAATATATGGGAGATGGAGAACAACTCAGGAAACAATGCATGCATAATGTTAGAGACAGTAACAGATTTTTAAAAAACAGCACTTATAGTACAAAGTTTGCAATCTTTCTATTCAAACAAAAAAAGTAACAGCAATCGGCTATAGATCAATTGTAATTTGTTGCCTATGCCCGCAACTACTACAAGCCCTGAGAAACTTTAACCTCATTTCCCGCACAGGTATAACTATAACAATAAACTTGTTGTAGGACAAGTACAATAGGTATATGTCACACGACATGCTTGTTTCTGACTACAAGCATGGTATGTGTTATGTGCACACTGTGAATAAAAGGAGTTGGCGCTCATTTACGCAATCAGCACAGTGCAGATTATAAATAAACCTATTAATAAGTTCCACTTTACTGATCACCTGGGTAAACTTCATTACAACGATATACACATAAGAGTAAACACAAGCACAAATATATTCCATACAGAAAATAAAACCAACAATGTTACAGTATACATGCAAAATATACTATAACACTACAATAAAAAAACAACAACTGCAGGTCGCCACTTTGCAGCACCCTTTCTGTTAACCAGCTTCGTCGTGCTTTGCTCATAAAGACATATCCCAGCGACCACACAACCATTAACCGTGTCATTGACATAACAAGCTTGACATTAAATTTTGTGAGTCGGAACTCACCAACCACTCAGCCACAATAATGCGTATATTATGTGTGCATGTATCTATGTCTGCGTGTGCGCGTGCGTGCGTGGGTGGGTGCGTGCGTGGGTGGGTGCGAGTGTGTGCATCTGTAGGCCTTTATAACCCTGCCTTAAGTGTGAGTACAAGTGTCCTGGGAACAGCGTTGTGATCACAGCGTGCCCACTGCACTATCACGTTAACTGCACTTGGTCGCGAGCGTCAGGTTTTAACACACAGAGACACACTGCTTTTGACCTCTGCAGATGAGGCCACGAAATGAAAAGACTGCAAAAACTATCAAAGTGCAACTTACAATGCTGAGGTCCACATGTGTAACTAGAGAAAAAATTTATAGCAGAGATCGCCCATCACGGCAAATAAACTCGGGCCTTTTTTTAACAAAGGAAAGAAGCACGCCTTCATAATATAACGGTAATTTAGCGCTCGCTAAAGAAAAAATAAGAGATGTTAAACAACAGAGGGAAACAAAACAAATAGGACCTAACAGTATCGCTGGCCATACAGCCGCAAGTCACACTACTCCTGGTACAATGTATTTGTTGCTTGGCGTCTATGCTTAACTCAGATTAACTATCAGTTTCCTTGACTCTATCACCGTCACTCATTCTCAGCTACGACGAATGTCAGGAGTTAACGATGCAAAGACTGTACGAAAATCGCCTTGTTGACGCACGGCAAGCTTGACTTGAAATTATTTTCCAAAGGTAGACGCGTATTGGAATTGACAAACATCTGGTTTCTATATGCTTGTTTGAGAAAAGAAAAGCTCATCAACAAAGACAGACAGACAGACAGACAGACAGACAGACAGACAGACAGACAGACAGACAGACAGACAGACAGACAGACAGACAGATAAGAGGAAGTACAGAAGTAGGATTTACCCGAGGCGCCGTTTTGCCCAACTGCAGTTCTATTGAATACCGGGAATCGATTTATCGCCGCCTGCTGAATAGTCTAATAATCTATTTTATAATGCACATTATAACAACAGTTCCATTTCACGACAAAAAGATCAGAAACACCCAGAGGATGCAGAAAGTACAGACAACACCTGAGCCAGTAACGAAACGATCAGTTCAAACCAGTAAGCGAAACGAGCAGTTCAGACCAGTAAATGAAACGAGCATCTACCAACCTCGCGGGAGACCAACAGACATTAGCCCAAAGAACAACATACATTCGGACAGAAAGCAACGAATCCTCCAGTCTTGCACGGACAACCACAACATAAGTACAATTACGAGTACAGTAATTGACTTTCACTTATAAAGCATGGCGAAACTTGAAGGTTATGGGGAATTTAAATAATCCAAAGATATACAACACGTTTACAACCAATAGGAGCCACTGTATCTTTCCTTTTATCTTTCAATGTTAACATCGTGGACACTGACCTCCAGCTCCGTATGCACACGCTCTTTTGCATAATGGACGAGGCCTTTAAGGACAATCGAACTGCGCACTCGTTCAAGATCGAGAGAAAGGCCTTGATATCACAACACCCGCCCAAGTCACAAGGCTCATGGTCGTGGCCTGAGAGACGCCACTGACTAAAGTCAGTGAGTACGATTCACAGGCTTTTTTTTTAAATCTCGAGACAGTCTTTTGTTTTAATAAGAGTTTTACGGCATTTGCAGTACAATAAGGTCAAATATAATGCAGAAGATTAGAATTGTTACGAGATAGTAACAAACACAAAAAGAGGAAAGATAATGACGATAGATGTTTGATGGGCAAGAAGGAGCAAACCACACCAGAGCACCCGTCAACCACCCACTGACCTTGGAAGTCCACAGCTAATCGTTAATAACAAGTATAAAAAATGAATACAATGTAGAACATGTCCCAACCAATGTCACTCTTTGGGCTGGTTGTTCGCACGGACTCAATCTCAGAAGATGCGCAGTTGGAGGGCGCAGTGGTAGGTTCTACTTCTTTATGATTTCTATTACTTTTTAATCTGTCTGTACGTCTTACTTTTTCACCCACACTGAATGTCGGTTACTTTGGTGACGAGCTCCACTTTACTTACAATAAAACGTTAGTTATTACAGATTGGTGGCTCTCAGTCTGCCGTCTTCGATGTAACAGGCTATGGATGCATTGAGGGGTTAAGGAAAAAAACAACCATGTGTATATATAAATAGTATACATTATGTTTTACATATATATAAATAGTATACATTATGTTTTACAGCCCTTTCAACTAAGTGGATAAGTGGGTTATCGAAGAAACATGACCCCCAACGTAAACTTCGTGTCTAACAGGACATAAACACAATATTTACATGTGTTACAATGCAGTGTTTAACAACAATCGAGAGAGAGCGAGAGAGAGAGAGAGAGAGAGAGAGAGAGAGAGAGAGAGAGAGAGAGAGAGAGAGAGAGAGAGAGAGAGAGAGAGGGGGGGGGGACAGACAGAGAGAGAGAAAGAGAGAGGGAGAGGGAGAGAGAGAGAGAGAGAGAGAGAGAGAGAGAGAGAGAGAGAGAGAGAGAGACGAGAGAGAGAGAGAGATAGCGTTATCAAGTAGTAACTCGTACTATATCAATAGTTGCTGCGAAAGGGACAGATATTATCAACAATAACAACCATAAAAAAATCACTGACTGCGAGTCATGAGAATTTGACCTACAACTTTAGTTTGAGTTTGAGTTTTATGGCACTTGCAAAACAAATAGGTCATATTATTATAAGAGCCGGAGAATAGCGGTGTTACTACTACAGAGTAACATACAAAGAAAAGAAAGAAGAGAAATCGCGGGATAGCAGCTCGAGTATCGCAACATGAGATTTTGGGGAAAACCACTGTTTGTTTTTCGGTTTGTTTGTTTGCCGTTGTTGCTTTGTTGTTTGTTGTTTTGTTTTGTTTTTGTTTGCTTTTGCTTTTTGGGTTGTTTTTTGTTTGTTTGTTTGTTTTTGCTTTTGTTTGTTTGTTGTTTTTTTGGGGGGTGGTTATTTGTTGTTGTTTTTTTTTGTTTGTTTGTTTATTTGTTTGTTTGTTGGTTTTTTTGTTGGGTTTTTTTTTTTGGGGGGGGGGTACATATTCCAGAGAACAGGAAAGGGGCCGTGTGTAAAAACAACACCACAAAGTCGTGGAATTATTTTGTGAAGATGCACATTAAATTGAAATTCCAGGAAGCGTTTTTTGTTATTCCTGTGAAATTTGAAAAACCTGAGTTACTATAGCAGTGCTGCTACCCATCGAAATAAGGACGATAAAAGTTTGATAGGGAAGAAAGAGCAAATGACACAAGAGCACCAGCCAACCACCCACGACCTAACATTGTTGCGATAACAATGCAATCGGTTACATAAAACAATGCACTCCTATCAAAGCCACGCGTGAAATACGTCTTTGCATGCCTTTCACTGTAGACTATGTTCGACCACGAGGAGATTGGTCTTATAGATGTAACTCAATAGAATGATCAAACACAAAATGAGAATAGACATCTGCTTTCCTCTTGAAAAAAAAAAAAAGGATGGTGATCTGAAGATAGAACCCCAAACTGTATGGATTGAATTATCTAATTTAACGTATTCATACAAAGTATCTGATCCCATACAATCAGCGGATTCCAAGTAGTGTCCTTTACGAAATGTTGATTTATAATAATATTACTGCATTTATTATTTTAATATTATTTCATTATTTTACTCAAATCAATTCTTTAGTTAGTATTATTGTTTTTTATATTGATGTTATGACTGTGCTTCTTCTTCTTTTTCTTTTTCTTCCTGTTCTTTCTCTTCTTCTTATGATAATCATTAGCATTATTTATTTTTTTATTTATTTATTTATTATTTATTCATTATTCAATTGATGGTTTTTTTTTCTTAATTATCATTAATACTGCCCTTAATCCATAATCGTGTTATTGATAAACATAGACGGCAACATAAATGATGACAATATAAGGGGGTGGGTGATGAGAAATGGTAGGGGGAGGGGGGGCAATTACAGCATATTATAGGCGATTTCCAGGTTGAGAACCATAGATATGGGGTACATAGAAGCGGAACCAATAAATTGCCAAAAAATATTATTCCGCAGACAGGAAAAAGAGGCTAAAACAGCACCTG